TATATATATATATATACACATACATATAATATTTATATATTGCTCCCCCCCCCATTAGGGATAGTCAATATGAACGCAAAGTAAACTAAATATTATTTATAATTTTCAAGTCAAAATCTGCAGTTTTTAATTTGAGCACTCTCTTGATTTGGAGTAGGCCGACGGGCTTCTTTCACTTCAAATAATAGATATAGCCTTTACAATGTGCATTAAACAGTTGATGATCATTTTACCTGCTCACAAGCAAACAGAGAGTTCGAGTAACGACAAAAAGGTAGTGGGTTCGAGTATTGGTTAAATGACAGTGGTTTTGAAAACTGTTAGAAAGAGGTTCTAATTCCGATAAAAAGGGAGTGTGTTCAAGCATTGAATAAGTGATAGCTGGTTCGATTTTTGCTCAAATGATAGTGAGTTCCAAAAACTTGTCATAGTAGGTCCAAGTTAAGGTAGTGATTTTGATACTTGCTCAAATGGTTGCGGATTCAAGTACCGATAAAAAGTTAGTTGGTTCGAAAACTGGTCTAACCATAGTGCGTTCGAGTACTGATTAAATGTTAGCGGGTTTGAATACTGATTAAATGATAGTGAGTTCGAGTACTTCAAATAAAATGGTAGTAACGTTTTTTAAATAATTTACAGCAGTTCTTTTTATTAATTAAATAACCAAAGTTACAAAATTAAATATAAAAATTTGTAAATTTACTCGTAAATCAAGCGGATCAAGTTAAATTTCAGATAAATAAGAAATTTAGTTGATGAAAGCTACCAGTAAAAGTTTATTATTTTTTTTTTTATGAAGGGAAAGTGTAGCTCTATGACTGGTGGGATGGGGTGGCGGGCGGAAAGCAGTCCTGAGGTTAGTGGGCGTCTTCTATCATTTCAAACATGGGATTAGTAGGTGTTGATGGTTTTAGCCGCTCACAGAAGCAAGAGAAAAGTTCGAGTATCGTAAAAAAGTTAGTGGGTTCAATACTTGCGAAATTTATAGCGGGTTCGTGAGCTGATTAAATGATAGCGAGTCTAAGTATCGATAAAGAGATAGTGGGTTCGAAAACTGGTCATAGTAGTTTCGAGTACCGGCAAAAAGGTCGTGGGTTTGATACTTGCTTAAATGATAGCCAGTCCAAGTACTAATAAAGCGGTAGTGGGTTCGAGAATTGATTAAAAAAAATTGGGTTCGAGTACTGATTAAATGAGGCTAGTTCGAGAACTTCAAATAAAAAGGTAGCAACGTTTTTGAAATAATTTATAATAATTGTTTTTATTAATTAAATAACCAAGGCTACAAAATTAAATATAATATTTTTAAATTTATTCGTAAATCAAGCGAATCAAGTTAAGTTTCAAATAAATATGAAATTCAGTTGATGGGAGCTACCAGTAAAAGTTTATTATTATTATTTATGAAAAGAAAGAGCGTGTGTATGACCATGGTTGGATGGCTGTTATTATTATTATTGAAGAAGTTGGGAAAAACAGTTCGTCCTTGAACGATCCGTATAAGAGGGTAATTGGGTAAATCGGTGCTCTACTGTGAGTGTATGTATACACCGCAGAGCCATTACATTATTAGCACCCTCCATCTGTAACAATGGGCTCACTCAGGTTTTCATGGTTTCTCGCCCAGGAACAATGTCTTCATGGCGCACATTAGGACCCATAATCCTCATACAACAATCCCTGACGTCTGTAAGCTACTTGAACATAGTTGCAGACCAGGTTCACCCATTCATGGCAACAGTTTTTCCTGCGGGGGATGGTGTTTACCAACAGGATAATGCATTATGTCATAAGGGTCGAATCGTCATGGATTGGCTCGAGGAACATTCCAGTGACTTTCAAGTCATATCTTGTTCCCCAAATTCACCCGACCTTAATCCAATAGAGCATTTGTGGTCCTACTTGGAAAACCAAATTCGTGCTGCCACGCTACCCCCTCGCAATGTGAGGGAATTGCAGGACCAGTTGGTGA